GGAATGTTTATGCAGAAACCTTATGGTTTTGTCCAGTCAGGTAAAAAAAAAGGGCCAGAGGAACATGGAGTGTCATTAAAAAATCAAAAAGCAGGAAAATTACCTTTTTCCCTTTGGCCTTAAATCTTAATCTGTGATTTATTTTTATTTTAGACTTCCTTAGTGATTCTAGTGTTTTCCTCTTGTATTATCTCTTGTATCTCAGCCCTTTGTTTAGACATATGTTTAACAGTGAGCCAACAAGTGGCTTTGGCTTAGTGACCACCCTGAGATTTAGAAGGTTGGGGGTTTGATCCCTAGTCGAGTCACCCCAAATTTACTAAAAAAATGGGACCCGAATGCCTCTCTGCTTGTTACCCAGCATAAAGGGATGGATTGGGTTAAGTGTCCTGTCCAGGAGGTGTACTTTGTACATCAAGCTGCCTTCCGCTATAGAATCAGGAAATAAGCTTCTCCCCCTATGAGCCATTCTGACTAAGCCCAACAAGGATTATTATTTAAACGTATTGTTCTACTGTAAAGTTTGTTTGCAATTTAAATGTTTTTCAGAGAAAATTAGAGTTGGATCAGCCCCCATTTGAAGTCATTTTCTCTATTTGAAATAATGTATAATTGTATTATTGTTTTATTTTTTGTTTGAAAAATTTTTTCCTAAATGTAGGGATTGTTTGTGGTATTAACTGTAACCCATGAAAACAAACAATAAGATAAATAACTTCTTAAACATTGTATGTAAGTGGGGTTAAATTTACGTTCTACAGTATTTCTTGAGATTCACAGCATACTGTGTTTATAGCTTAAAAGTACAGCATGTACCAGTAGGGCTGTGTCAAATCATCAAACCAATTTATCATTAAAAATGATGATTCATAACATTATTTAAAAATTTAGCTTTTATTAATTGACAAAAGGGGGGTTACAACTGTCATCAAAGGTCAAATCTTTGAAAATTGACTACAAATTAAACATACTGCAAATGTATTCACTCTTTGGTTCCTGAAATAATCAAGAAGAAACAAAAAAGCACAAGCCAGGACACTGTATATGGGATTTGGGTTTGGAACTCTGGGAATTATACTCCTTTAAAATGTAGAAAAAAACGAAGGAAAAAAAAAATTCTTTTTGAGGTTAATTCCAATTTTTTGGACCGTGAATGCTCTAAATGTTCTTTTTTTCTTTTTGGCCATTGTTTTTTTTGGTAAGTTATTGAGGGGGGGGGGGAACCGCCCCTGAGGCGGGGAAAAAAACAAAAAATTCTAATTTTTTGTTTCCCCGGGGCTTTGTTTTCAGAACAGTGAGTGGTGGGGTTTTTTTTTTTGGTTTTTTTGTTGTGTGACAGGGGGTGTTTTTTTTTTGTTTTTTGAAGGGGGGTAGGCACCGGTTTTTTGGTTTTTTTTTTAAATGGGTTTGGGTTTTTGTAACAGTGTAGTTTTTGTAAAAAAGAATGACCACCCCCCCAAAAAGGAACCCAAAAATCGCACAAAGTGGGAAGCATTGGTGGTCACGATCGTCGAACAGAGATGAGGCCAAAGGCGCATTTGCAGGCAAAAATACTCTTTATTAGAGACAGATCAAAAAACAAAAAAACGAAAACGTACAAAAAACCCCACCAAAATGGCCCAAAGCAGGAGTCGAGGGCCACGCCGGGGAAACCCCTAGCGATCTCCGTGGCACCTCGGGGGTAAGCCGAGTAAAAGAGCAGAAGGTGGATTGGGGAAAAAAGGAGAAGAGCTTCGCTGGGTAACCCAATTTGAGGAGCTAAAATGCGGGAGTTGGGGGAGAAAGCGAGAGTTGGGCGAAAAAACTTAGGGGCCCGGCCACGGGGAGGAGAGCCCCCCCAAACATTTTAGGGGGGGGGTCACGAAAGTCGGGGCAGCAGGAGCCGCGATAGACGGTCCCGGGGTTGCAGAGGAGGGGGCCAGGTTCGGGGGGCCCCTGGTAGAAGAGGGGATGGAAGGTTGGGGCACGGCGAGAGGTAGGGGTGTGTTTCCAGCCCGGCCGGCCGTTCCAGCCCGGGGAGGGCCATGGTGTGGGCCCCGTACGGTCCGTTGTTCCGGGTCCCCCACCAATCAGTGGTGGTTCGTCACCCCGGGTCGGCCCCTTCTCTCCCCACCCAAAAATCAGTGGGCCCTTTGTCACCCGGCTCGGCCCTTCCGCCCCCCCGCACCAAGTCTGGGCGCTTGTCAGCCCCGGGTCGGCCCCTTCCTGCTCCCCCCACCAAGTAATGGTGCGCTTGTACCGGCTCGGCCGTTCCGCTCCCCGCACCCAAATCAGTGGTGCGCTTTGTCAGCCCGGCTCGGCCCCTTCCTGCTCCCCCCCACCAAGCTTTGGGGCGGGTTGTCAGCCCGGGTCGGCCCCTTCCTGCTCCCCGCACCCCAAATTTGTGGGGGCTTCGTAGCCCGGCTCGGCCCGTTCCTGCTCCCCGCACCAAGTCTGGTGCTTCGTCTGCCCGGGCCGTTCCTGTCCCCCCAAACCCAAATAGTGGTGCGCTTCGTCAGCCCCCCCCCCCGGCCCGTTCCTGCTCCCCGCACCAAGTCAGTGGTTTTCGTTTGTCAGCCCGGTTCGGTCACCCTGTCCCACACCAACCCGTGGGGGCGTTGTCAGTCCACACGGCCCCTGCCCGTTCTCCACCCAAGAGGGTGGGCGCGTCGTGCCGGCCCCTGCTGTTCCACTGGGGCCTGGTTGGCACTGGTCAGATGTTTTTCCCGGAGCAGAGCAATCCGTCCATCGGGGTGCAGCCACTCGGGCCCGCGGGGCCGACCGGGCCGGGGTATTGGGGGGTTGAGAGGGACGGGGATCAGGCCCGGAGCCGGTCCGCCGCCTGGCGGATGGGCCCCCCCGGTCCCTCCCCGTGGGATTGGTTTACGCGGCGGAGTCCGGCCCCTTTGGGGGGGGTACTGTCACGCCGGTCTGGGGACATGTTATTTTGAGGCAGGGGGTAATCAAAGTGTTTTGTTTCTATGGGTGCTTTTCTTGTTTTGGAGAGGGCCTCCCAAACAAGGCAAGGGTCAGGTGTTGCTGGCTTGTCTCTGATTGGGAGCCATATTTATACAGTCTGTTTTTCATTCGTGTTTGTGGGATTTTGTTTCCAGTCGGTTTGTGTTAGACCGTGAACTGTCACGATATCGTTTGTTTGTTTTGGTCATTTGACGCTAAATAAAGAGTATGTTTGCCTGCAACGCTAGCCTTGGTCCTCATCTGTTCCTGACGATCGTGACAATTGGAGTCAACATGGGCCAGCATTCGTGTTGAATGCTTGCGACAATGCTTTTGTCCATTGCCCCGATTTAATTGACGCTGTTCTGAGGGCAAAAGGGGGTGCAAACTCAATGTAGGAAGATTTTCTTAATGTTTTGTACACTCTGTATATATGCACCACTTAAATAATACTGAACCTTCTCTTACAATTTCGACAATATAACTTATAATATTCACCACCTACCAATATTCAGGTTTGTTCCGTGCCCAAACAGGATCTCCCCACATGTGGCCACAGCACAGTAGTAAGTCCCAGCATCAGAGAGACTGAGGTTGTTCTTGGAGAGGCTGTAGACACAGCTCTTTGTAGGAGAGGAGTCACAGGGCTTTCTCACACTCATCTCTCCTGTTCCCAGGGGTGTAAAGGACTCCTGGATGGGATTCCCCTGATCCGGCTCTGAACCAGTACACACTGTGTTCTCCTGTACAGGTCTCAGAGAGTACTGTACACTGGTAGAGTCACAGAGTCTCCTGGATGGACTGGGGCGGAAACTGGTCGCTGCACCAATGAAAGGTTGATTGTGTCCTATATTGTGTAATATTGTATTGAGAAAATAATTATTCATAAGCTTGTAAAGTTGAGACGTCATAGAAATTTTAAATGGTAAACATTCCTTTAGGCCACATGGCAGTTTGGAAAACAGGCATTTGTTTGTTCGAAAATAGTTGTGCGGTTGCTAATTACCTGTAAACATTTTATTTATTTGTCAGTAATTGTTCTAATTTATTCGCCCCACAGTCAGCCACAATGCTTAGCTAGCCAGCTTAAGAGTTGTTTACAGTAAAAAGTTAGTTAGCTGCCGTTTCTACACTCTTTTGCTACGGTTGTCATTTTCAAAAACCTGTCTGCAAAAATGACAAGTTTGTCTTTATTTCACCATTGATGACACGCATCCATTGATATCCACTTTCTATGCATACTGCAGCCAGATTGTCTATAATTTTTCTGAACATCTACAACACATTGGCAGTGTGCATCTACTGTATGTATAGTATCGTATATGAAGATATTATGTCTTTGTTAAATGTTTTTCATGAAGAAATGGAATGTTGTTTATGTTAGTATATGTTTTTGTGTAACGTCACTACCACAGACCGGAAGTGTGTTGTAGACAGGGGAGACTGGGGATTGTGCCAGAAGAGGGAGCATCATTGTTATAAATAGGGGGGGAAAACGAAGAAAGAAGAAAGTCAGAACGAGCAGCCATTCTGAGGCGTCACTCTCCGGGGTGTCATGTCACTGTAACTTATGCTGTAACCTCGTGATTTTAATAAAAGCCTCTAACACGATGCAGCATAAATGGACTCTTTGTTGACAGCAATAACTGGCCACCACTCATCCGATACGACATAATGGCACCCCAGATGGGACTGGTCTGCGCCTCTTCTTTGTTTCAGTCAACCGCCAAGCTAACTCGCTTTGAAGCATGGCCAGATAAGGGTAAGTTTCCTTACCGCTTTGGGAGTTTGTTAGATTGGATCGACTTGTGTACACTGGAGAGATGTACCATTACGACCTTGCTCGGGTGGCGTTATTGCTGTTGGACTAGAGTCTGTTAAATATATTCCATTGGTAACGGCAGGCAATGGGAAATTTAGAGCATTAAACGGTAGGAATTAAGTATTGAAGTGTACAATTAAGGCAGATATGCGCATTCTTTAGGGCACTGTACCGCTTTAAGACCTCCAGGGGGGGCCATTTTAGATGTTGGGCCGGGCAAATCCGTTGAACGATAGAATGGGCAGACGGTGGGTTTTTTAAAAGGGAAAACTCTGATTAATGGGGTTTATCTGATTGTGATTATGATTCGACTCTCGTCCGACGGGATGTTTGATTGGGTTTGATTTCTCGGTGTAATGGTCATTAAGTCACGGTAGCAAAAACGGTAGGATAAATATGTTTAAAGGGAATAAGGTGCAGTTGCAGGATATTTATTTGTATGGTAGGCCGCAGTTAGCTAAAGGCTAAGGCTAATGTTAATGCTAAATGGGAGTGGTGTTTCATGCTACATGGTACATGGCGGCTTAAATGCTAAATGCTAATTGTGTTGCGTGCTACATGCTAATGGAGTATCCTTAGAGACCCCATTGCGATGGATTAAAGTCTCTTAAACTTGTCTCTGTGTGTAAGTTCAGGTTATATGTTTTGTGAGCGCTGTTAAATGTTGTTTGACTATAAGGGGGGAAACGGGAGGTACATCTGGACTGTATTTCTGTCTGTTTGGGGAGGGAGTAGAAAATCTTCCTTCCACGGTGAAAAGGTATTTTTGAAATGGCTGTGCGCATGTGCATGATTTTGCCGACACTACACTACAGAAAGGGGGAGTTTATGACACGAGATAGGACACGTTTGGTTTCACGGCACTAAAACTACGACATGCGGTTGTTGCTAAGCCTACAAAAACACTGCATTATGGGTTAAGGTCATAGGTTCCCATCTGGGGGCTGCAGGGGGTAGACAGAGAAATGGACACAGACAAAGAGGAGAGATTTTAACACGAGTATTCTAGTTTAAACTGCGGTTGGTTAAAGATTGAAACTTGTTTGTGACCTATTGAATTATAAATAAATATATGTTGACGGAAGTATAATGCATTAAATTAAATGACGGATTAAAATAAAATAAAAATGTTTTTGAGCGATCTATTAGTTCTGAGGTTAATCTTAGAGTGAATAATGGGTGACGAAGGAATATTGAATATGGTTTTGGAAATAACTCAGTGATTGCATTAACTACTAAAATGTGATTCTGTGTCTCTGTTTTTCTGTCATATGAGAGGAGCAATACGATACGACAGGAGAGAGGAGGGGCTAACGTGTGACTGACGTGCGTCACGTGACAAGGGTGTGACGCGGGCAGAGGATCAGATCAGGGCTAGTTCACAAAATCATCCTAACAAAATATGTGATGTTATGACAATTTTACATAGGCTTGGCAAATGATTCATTAAAAATTTCATTTTGGAGGCTCTGTATCACTGGGGTTTGATGGGAGTTGTGTTTGGGAATCAAGGGACTGACATTATTCTGTAAATTTAAGATAATTAGGTGCCTATAGAGCAAGGGGGTTTATGGAGAATTGTAGTATTGAAGGGTTAGAGGCTTTGTTTTTGGGATTGCTTTGAAGTTGACTAACTTACATTTACTTGCATTTGATGGGTTGTGGTAAGATAGCCAACACTAATTGATAAATTGGTGATATAGGAATACAAATTGGTTTTAATTATTCATGATTTTAATTGATTTATTTAAAAAATAATAATTACAGTGGGGAAGCCATAGGCTATTAGGCTAATATAAAATAGTTCACAATAAAGGAATATAAAAGGGTTGATATAGGGGAAAAAATAGTAATCCTTTAACGAAAGTAGTGTTAGGAGAAACTAATGGCAGAAGTTAGTACACCTTTCTCACATACGGATTCAGCAAAAAGTAGAGCTTAGGGATGTTTATCCTCAGCTTCCGGTGATCATCAGGAGGGTGATTGTTGCATAAGAGATGAAGATGAATAATAGATAGAGGACAAGCAGAAACGACGATGAAGATGAATCCAAAACTCCAGAAGGAAGAAAATGTGATGTCTGGAAGAAAAGAGGGAGGTTAAGGAGGATGGAACTTAAAGAAGATGAGGATGATGAAGATGAGTGATGATGAAGAGGTCATGGGTGGAGATGACTCTGTGATCAGAAGGAAGTTGGCAAGAGAGGAAAGAAGAAGGATACTAGAGATTTGATCTCTGATGGAAGTTGAAGGAAGAAGGATACACGAGATTTGATCTCTGATGAAAGCAAAGATGAAGAAAGCGATGAAGATTTGGAGATTAAAGGTGCTTTATGTTCAAGAGGATTTTATCCTACAATGACTAGCAAAGAAGAAATAGATATATAGACCGATGTTTATCATGCCTGGATAAAGCAAATAGTTTAGAAGAAGTAACACAGCTGAAGATACAGAAGAGGAGAAACTGCTGAGAGGATCCCAAGAATTGGAGAACAACAAAGAACAGGACGAAGAAACTCTGAGAAAACTCAATCATACAACTGGTGGAGAAGAGAAGCTTTGGTTATGAAGAATCAGAATGAACCAAATCAACAATCACTGTTACAGCTTCAACTGAACAATATCAAATGCAATTGTACCAGCCAAGGGGGGGTACCAGATGTTCCATATCCACAGCCAGTTTCTGGGACAGACACAGAATTGGAGAGGAAGAGGACGAGAAGATTTAGAAGAAGGAGGAAGATTTCAGCTACACTTCCAGCAACTTTCAGAAGACTGTTATAATTGTGGACAGATTGGGTACTTTACCTGTGTTGGAAATGCGTCAGGAGAAAACAACAGAGGAAGATAAAGGAGCAAGTGAAGATCACTTGTTAGTGCCTAGAAGATCCGGAAGGGGGGTGTCAGCTGAGAGCATCGATTAGAGAAGAAGAGAAAATAGCTAACAATTGAAGTAAAAACCGACCATTAGAAGTGATAGTGAATAGTGTAAAAACTTATCTGGGTTCAGCCTAAAGAGGTTAAACATCTCACTATGTAAAATTAACTAATTAGGATAGGGATTTGAGGTAGTAAAACAGTTAATTACTCTTAAGATACTAATATTAGAAGATACTGTTATTGCAGTATTGGAAAGAGATGCATTGTTTATTCTGGGTTACATTCTTACACTAAGAGATTTCAGGCTAGGCTAAAAGGTGTTTAGTCGTTTTGCCAAGTCTGTGTAAAAAAGTCAGAAGCAGGTGGGGGAACTTTCTCAATCACGTATTCTAAAATTTGGTGGTAAAGGGATTTTGTGAATAAATCAGTGGAAAAGGTTTTTAAAGGTTATGAGAGAAAAGATTAGATTAAAATAAGTTAGGAGGACTAGGTGGAAGGAACTCTAAGACAGTAAGCTAAGTTTCAAAGTTAGTAGTAAGAGAGAGAACAGTGGTGAAGGACATCTTAGAGTAGGAAGATCAAGGTAATTATAGGTGTATTTTTATAATCAAAAGTTTGAAAGTCAGGGATTAGAGAAAGGACTGAGAGTGGGGAAAAAGTGACACTAGTGGTGATAGATGGAAGTACAAGCAAAGACAACTTTTCTTTGGGGAAAATGGATGAAAGCAACAATAAGGACATTAACACTTCAGTCTATTAAAACAACAGTGAGAAGCAATTTAACTCTTTCAACATTGATAGTTATTAAAGCCATAAATATATCGCATTTGATTATAAGGGAACCAATAGCTCCAGTACCAATTTTAGGGGAAAGAATACTTATTAGGGTTAGGATGGGGACGTTCCTCCCATATGGAGAGATAATTATGGAGAATAAGTATTGTTATCAGGACCAGATGTAGAAGCGGTGTCCCCTAGTCAAAGGAGGGATAGTTTGTACAACGATATGAAGTGGAAGAGGTTAGGAGTGACTGTTCACTTATTTGGCGTAATGTTACAGAGAAAGGTCAGGGAGAATATATGTGTACTTATCTAGTGCAAGCATTAGAATTTGTTCCGGTTAAGAATTATTGGTTAAAAGGCTATGTAATTCATAAAGTAACGCTTATGATGGAAGAGTTGAGGTCTGTTGTAGCCTCCACAGTCATTGAGGGAGTTCAGGAGGAGTAGGTTACAGTAGCCACTCCAACAGTAGATAATACACAGAGGATAACGGGAACTTTCGCACTAGAAGTCATTAAGGTTAATACATCAACTACTTTAATGGTAACTTTGGAAGGGATTAATGATACGATGGCAATAAGCAAATGTAGGAAGTATGACACCGACAACTTTTCTGAAATTAAAGGGGGGGTAGCAAGACGAATAGGGTTAAAATAGGAGAACAGATAGTAGTAGAGAGAATATAGATTTATCATGGAGGACAGGATGAGGTCTTTGATTTTAATGACAGACAAGGAGAGGTATCTGATCAGTACCGCTCGTTAGGGAAGAGAGAAACTATATGCATGTAGTTTGATTCTTCTGTTGTGAAAATTAGAGATAGATGGCAGGTAGGAATCTTTGGTTCCAGCAGCTCATTCTGTAAGATCAGGGAGGAATCTTGAGGGTCCATTGTCTGGTTAGAATTCCAGTCAAACATGTTAGAGACGGTCGTTCGACCTCTATCAAGTATGTGTCAATCTTATGCGTTGTCATGACTGTGGTATCAGCAACAATCAGTAACAGATAAAATAATGTCGTTGTCAAAACATTTGTTTAAGCCTAGGTTTAGGTGTTATTGGGTTAAGTGAATTAACTTGTGTGAATTTGTTGGATGGTAAAGTAAAATCAGGTAACAGCGTAACTGAAGCATTTGAGGTGTAACCATTGAGGGTTAAAAGTTGTTTTTGTTCTAATAAAACATATGAGGTAAGGGGTATGTTTATGGGAATATCAGATTGTGATGTTATATGATAACTTTGGGGAGCATGACCTTAAGGGTAGTAATGAGAAATATGTTACTTTTTATGTTCCAGGTAGTAGGAACAGCAGGACTTTGATGGTTAAAAGATTAGCTTTTGCCTGACAATGTGACTATGGGGAATTTTAGAGATATTTAGAGGGTTTGTGGTGATAAAGCATATATATTCTTACCCTATGGATAGACAGGATGTTGTTACATGTCAACGTTGAAGCTTCCATATGAAGTTTTTACCATTATAAGAGGGGTAGCACCGGACACAAATCTGAAGCTATATTTGAAATTTGATGAAAACAGACATGGCTACATGTCATAGTCTTCAAGCCTATCATTGAAGGATGAATCTAAGGGAGAAGGGGGGACTTTTTCCATGGTATGGGGTAACATTTGGGAAGATCCTATTGATGATAATAGTTATACTTTTAGTTCAGATAGTTATATATGCATTGAAGAATATAAGGGATGTGTTTGGGAGATCTGAGAAGATTTGGTTGCAAGATCAGGTAGGCCAGTAGGGGCAGTGATGGGTTACATTTAATGGCAGCTTTGATAACACTGTGTGATGTTTGTAATTTGTTACTGATCTTTGAGAAAGCTATGATATTGAGATAGGTTGGAGAGTGATGCCTGGAGACAACACTCAGATGCCGGTGTTGACTGTTCCTGATCTGGATAAAGATGGACAAGTGGAACTGATGGATAAATATCATTTTTGATTATTTGATCATTTTTCAATTTTTTTTCAATATTAGGGTGATGTTGGTATGATTTATGAATCAAAGGGGGGAATGGGTTTATGTGATTCATACATCATTTATATATCATTTTTATATTCTTAGTGGATATTGATGGTTAATTTGAAAGGGTTGTTTTGCAAAAGATACTGTTTGGTCGTTTCTTTTCTTTTCTTCCAGAAGCATTTGGGGGAACATGTGACTCAAACAAGGACAATAGGAAGGGACAATATGAAGGGACAATATGACTGGAGGAGATGAAACAAGGAGGGTGTGGCTGATTCCATCATCAACAGTCCATTGGAAGAGGAGACTACGGGGAGATGAAGTGTAGTGGACTACATTCCAGTGTCTGCAATGAAATATAGACATGTGTAATACATAATTTGTGTCATATTCTTAGGTATTAATTTTTGTAGAATGATGTTTGATGTTATTGAATACATGTGAGGATCTTAGATGTTTTTGTTTATTTCGTGAATGTTTAGGGACAGAGAGGCTAGGCAGGGAGAGGTTCACTGTACGGTCCAATGGGTTGACCAGCCTTACAAGTGGATGTTTTTGGATAGGATTTTGTTTGCAGGGGCTTACATGTGTATTTAATTGCATCATAGTTTCAAATGCATTTACATGGTTTATGAGGTTATCTGGAGTACCGAAGGTGGTTGCCTGGGGCAGAGGGACCGTGAGAGAATTTTACTGTCTTGATTGATGGATGGAAGGTTGCCGGACAGTTTTTCGCTCTTACACTCCATAGAGATTTGTTCATGTTTCATAGTAATGTATTCACACTTCATAAAGATAGTGATGTATTCACACTTCATAAACAGTTATTCATATTTCATAGAAAGGTATTTACACTCTAGAGGAGAATGTTTTTGGTTTAATGTTAAACCTACTCAATAAGATAAATTGTTACTAGTCATAATCCTATTCTGTTTGTTTTCGAGACTGTTCGTCTCGAAGGGGGGAATATCGTATATGAAGATTATGTCTTTGTTAAATGTTTTTCATGAAGAAATGGAATGTTGTTTATGTTAGTATATGTTTTAGTGTAACGTCACATACCACAGACCGGAAGTGTGTTGTAGACAGGGGAGACTGGGGATTGGCCAGAAGAGGGAGCATCATTGTTATAAATAGGGGGGAAAACGAAGAAGAAAGTCAGAACGAGCAGCCATTCTGAGGCGTCACTCTCCGGGTGTCATGTCACCTGTAACTTATGCTGTAACCTCGTGATTTTAATAAAAGCCTCTAACACGATGCAGCATAAACGGACTCTTTGTTGACAGCAATAACTGGCCACCACTCATCCGATACGACAATAGCAATATACAAAAACACTTGGTGAACATTGAAATACACAATTTAAATTAAATTACCTTTCACAGCCAAAAATGTTGCATTTCCATAGTTCATCCCATATATTGTCCCCATTCCACAAAAGTATGTTGCCTCATCTAATGTGCTGATATTTCTGATAATGAGATTATACACATATTCAGATTCCTCCACTTTGAAACGTGGGTTCTTAAACTCTCCTTTAAGTACAGGTTCTGATCCATAGGATACAGAAGCGACAAGATTGGGCAGTTGGCCAACAGTTTGTCTGTACCAGTACAGGAATTGTTGAGATTCCGCTTTGGGACATGGCAAAGATACAGTGTCTCCAAATAGACGTGTAGTCACTGGTATTGGTTGAGGAGCATCTTCAGTCTAAATCAGGTCTGCCAAAATGTGAATGTTATCAGATGTCAATTTGAAATGGAAATGGACAATGTTCAGCCTATGAATAACATAGCAGTAAGTCATCAAACTACTGCAATTCAAATTGCCTGACGCTATATCGGTCACATTGCTGTCCCAAACTGAATATATTTCATTACCTTTAGATATGACATTCCAATAAGATAGTGTTATTCTTTACCGATTTTCAATTTTACTGTTCAGTAAAATACTATTTGAGATCAGGACATGCACTTACACACTTGAGAGAGAAGTCCCCAAAGAAGGTAGATTCTGATCATCTTGATATGGACTGACTGTAGCTTTAAACAATGTTTCTCTTTGTTACTATGAAAGACTGACTGACTAAATGAAAATAATTGTGGGCTGTTTAAAATCTAAGAATGACTTGATTGGTTAGGGGAAAGACATGCATCACTTCCTCTGTAACGTTTCCAACCTTTTTCAGCCATGTACTGTATGCAATCTAAAGATTTAAGGTGTGCACTAATTTGTTGGCCTACTTTACAGCAAGATATTGCTTAGTGATGCCATATATCCCAGACACAGATTAAGCCTAGATCACGACTAAAAATATTTCCCATTGAAAGAGATATTTAGTCCAGGACTAGGCTTAATCTGTGTCTGGGAAACAGCCACTACAAATGCATGCTAACTTTAGCCACCAATAGCTAACAATCAATGGAAGTGATAGGGCAATTGTGCAGTGTTGTTTTATGGAACGATCACCTTTAAGTAGCATCAAACCAAATATGGAGTTTATTTGGCCATGAAAATTGCCCCTATCATTCCCATAGATTTTTAGCTAGGTGTGGCTAAAGTTAACTGAAGTCTGTAGTTCCTGTATAGAGAAAACCGACCAATGGATTACATTTTGTCTTGACACATAGACTACTTTCACAGTGAGGAACCATCTAACATGAAGTTGTACAATCCTGAAATTCCCCTTTAATGCTGAGTGTGACTCAAAAAAATAAAAGGTTTTAATATGAATTTTAATATTTTGCAACATTATAGGGTCAAATACAAATGCAGATTGTTTACATTTTACTGACACGTGTAAGACTCAACATATTCAAGAACCAAAAAAATATCAAAATATATTGGATGCAAAGAGAAATACCATATATATATATATATATATATATATATATATATATATATATATATATATATATATATATACAGTGGGGAGAACAAGTATTTGATACACTGACGATTTTGCAGGTTTTCCTACTTACAAAGCATGTAGAGGTCTGTAATTTTTATCATAGGTACACTTCAACTGTGAGAGATGGAATCTAAAACAAAAATCCAGAAAATTACATTGTATGATTTTTAAGTAATTAATTTGCATTTTATTGCATGACATAAGTATTTGATCACCTACCAACCAGTAAGAATTCCGGCTCTCACAGACCTGTTAGTTTTTCTTTAAGAAGCCCTCCTGTTCTCCACTCATTACCTGTATTAACTGCACCTGTTTGAACTCGTTACCTGTATAAAAGACACCTGTCCACACACTCAATCAAACAGACTCCAACCTCTCCACAATGGCCAAGACCAGAGAGCTGTTTAAGGACATCAGGGATAGAATTGTAGACCTGCACACGGCTGGGATGGGCTACAGGACAATAGGCAAGCAGCTTGGTGAGAAGGCAACAACTGTTGGCGCAATTATTAGAAAATGGAAGAAGTTCAAGATGACGGTTAATCACCCTCGGTCTGGGGCTCCATGCAAGATCTCACCTCATGGGGCATCAATGATCATGAGGAAGGTGAGGGATCAGCCCAGAACTACACGGCAGGACCTGGTCAATGACCTGAAGAGAGCTGGGACCACAGTCTCAAAGAAAATCATTAGTAACACACTACGCCGTCATTGATTAAAATCCTGCAGCGCACGCAAGGTCCCCCTGCTCAAGCCAGCGCATGTCCAGGCCCGTCTGAAGTTTGCCAATGACCATCTGGATGATCCAGAGGAGGAATGGGAGAAGTACATGTGGTCTGATGAGACAAAAATAGAGCTTGTTGGTCTAAACTCCACTCACCGTGTTTGGAGGAAGAAGAAGGATGAGTACAACCCCAAGAACACCATCCCAACCGTGAAGCATGGAGGTGGAAACATCATTCTTTGGGGATGCTTTTCTGCAACGGGGACAGGACGACTGCACCGTATTGAGGGGAGGATGGATGGGGCCATGTATCGCGAGATCTTGGCCAACAACCTCCTTCCCTCAGTAAGAGCATTGAAGATGGGTCAAATACTTATGTCATGCAATAAAATGCAAATTAATTACTTAAAAATCATACAATGTGATTTTCTGGATTTTTGTTTCAGACTCCATCTCTCACACATGAAGTGTACCTATGATAAAAATTACAGACCTCTACATGCTTTGTAAGTAGGAAAACCTGCAAAATCGGCAGTGTATCAAATACTTGTTCTCCCCACTATATATATATAGTAAAAATAAAGAAAAACCCTTGAATGAGAAAAAAATTAATATATATATATATATATATATAGATTTTTTTCTTATTCAAGGGTTTTTCTTTATTTTTACTATTTTCTAGATTGTAGAATAATAGTGAAGACATCAAAACTATGAAATAACACATATGGAATCATGTAGTAACCAAAAAATTGTTAAACAAATCAAAATATATTTTATATTTGAGATTCTTCAAAATAGCCACCCTTTGCCTTGATGACAGCTTTGCACACTGTTGGCATTCTCTCAACCAGCTTCATCTGGAATGCTTTTCCAACAGTCTTGAAGGAGCACTTGTTGGTGGCTTTTCCTTCACTCTTCGGTCCAACTCATTCCAAACCATCTCAATTGGGTTGAGTTCGGGGGATTCTGGAGGCCAGGTCATCTGATGCAGCACTCCATCACTCTCCTTCTTGGTCAAATAGCCCTTACACAGCCTGGAGGAATGTTGGGTCATTGTCCTGTTGAAAAACAAATGATAGTCCCACTAAGCGCAAACCAGATGGGATGGCGTATGGCTGCAGAATGCTGTGGTAGCCATGCTGGTTAAGTGTGCCTTGAATTCTAAATAAATTCCGACAGTCTATTGCCCAAGTTTCAGATGTTTTTTTCACTTCCACTCTACATGCACAGTTTTGTCAAATCAAATCACATTTTATTTGTAACATGCTTCGTAAACAACAGGTGTAGACTAACAACGAAATGCTTACTTACGGGCCCTTCCCAACAATGCAGAGAGAAAAATAGAATGGCTATATACACAGGGTACCAGTACCGAGTCGGTGTGCAGGGGTACAAGGTAATTGAGGTAGATATATACATATAGGTAGGGATAAAGTGACTAGGCAACAGGATAGATGTTAAGCAGTAGCAGCAGCGCATGTGATGAGTCAAAAGAGTTAGTGCAAAAGGGGGTCAATGCAGATAGTAAGGTCAGCTATTTGGTTAACTATTTAACTAACTATTTAGGCCTTGGGGGTAGAAGATGTTCAGGGACGTGTCGGTTCCAGACTTGGTGCATCGCCACTGCTTGCCATGCAGTACCAGAGAGAACAGTCCATGACCTGGGTGGCTGGAGCCCCCGACCACCTCCAAGGCCCTCCTCCGACACCGCCCGGTACAGAGGCCCTGGATGTCAGGGAGCCAGGCCCCAGTGATGTACTGGGCCGTATGCACCAAATATATTGCCAAATATACATATTCATAGATTTATGAAGTATGAGTTGTGGTAGAAATATTTGACTCAAAAGTAGTCAACTCAAAAATATCTCTCAAGAAATCCAAAAATTAGACTTGTATTATCTAATAACAAAAGCCGAGCAGTTCCATGGAACAACTGTCTCTCTTAGGCTTAGAGCTCCCTTTTATACACACACAAATGCACAAACATGCTTACATGGCATATACAGTTACTCCCCCTATGGCAAATTCCTAACTTATTTTAGTTCTGCGCCACCCTTCTCTTTCAACGTCCAGCTGTCACACATGGTCCACTCCAAAAGGTCATGAATACTTTTCTATATGAAGCCTCTCATTCTATTGGTTGCTTGGCTCAGGCCCTTTCTTAAAAAAGAATATACATACATTAAATCACAGTTACATACTGCATTGACTATATTCCTTATTTAAGCATGCATCTGGAATATAAAATATCAAACATGTTTATTATATTTTACCTTTGGCAACTCCCTACATTTGCCTTAATGATACATAAAATATCTCTATATAATCCCCCCTTTGGGACTTTCCAACAAAGTCCCAATAATACAAAGATTAATTTTAAAAATGAATGAAAGCATGTGCATTTACTTATTCTTAGCCTTGCCATATGTGGTTACATTTTACATGCATATATTTAAACCAATATATCTTCCTCATTACTTGACCCATCCTGATGAGGACCCAGAGCCCAGTCAGGTTTTGGTTACAAGTCTGGAAGGTTTTCCTCTAAATTAACCTCCAAAGTTTTCTATTGGGCTTTGTAACCATGGCAAGCCCATCCACCCCCAGGAACAACTCCATACAAACATTCAGGATTCCCAAATGGACAGTCCATTGGTCCTCCTTTAACATTACAAGATTACCCATATTTATTTACATACTGTCCTGGAGCTCCCTGAACTGGGTGTATTTATTTGGCTGAACTAGTAACAATGGTCTGTAGAGTCATTTGTTTTACTGTGGTTTGAATCAAAAGTGATTTTAACAGAGGTAGTATACAACAAAACACTACTCCCATCACTACAAGTGATATTCCTATCATTATTGCCATTTTTGTAAACATTGCACCCCATTTTCCCACAGTTAAGTCCATCCAGTCCCAAACATGAGCATCATGCCCAGCATTGTCCTTAACCTCTTTTTGTAGTCCTTTGAGCTTAGTCATTGCTTCAGTGAATGAACCATCCGGGGCAGTATTATTGGGGATAAAAGTACAACATTCATCTCCAAACATAACACAAACTCCACCTTTTTCCGCTAATAACCAGTTTAGAGCCTGCCTATTCTGCCATGTCATTCTACTGGTAGCCTGTACTTGCTCTCCTAGGGCTGATAATGCAGATTCTGTGTAATTAATAAGCCTTTGTTGATTATAATAAATATAATTGATCCATTCTAGGTTTTTGTTGGTTGAAATCCAGACAAATATTGATTCAAATCCTGCTTTAATTTAATCTCTTGCCTTATATTCCTTTGGAATTCCTCTGGGTTGACCTATTGCATCTAAATATACATTGGGGTCATGTTCATATGAAGTTTTTACCCTTTTATTACTATTCTGTGCA